AAAGGTCAACCAAGACTGGTTTGATGAAAACAACGTTGAAATAAAAAGACTTATTGAACGTAGGAGAAAGGCAAAGACAGGCATTAAGTGGCAAAGCAACCCAAGAACAAGATCATCCAAGACTAAATTATTATGAGCAAGAAATGAACTGCAGCAATGTACCCATGAAATTAAGAACCAATGGTGGAACAATGAAGCAGCAGAGCTCCAGAAACCAGCAGATAAACAGAACTCAAAAGCCTTCTTTGCTGCAATGAAGGCTGTCTATGGTCCCAGCACTTATGGTCCAGCCCCAATCCAAGCTGCACATGGAACATTGGTAAAGATCCTTGATCACTTCAGATGCTTTGCATTAGCACTTCTATAACTTATTGAACCGCGAAACTGAAGTTGACCAAACAGCTATGAGCAAGCTGAGACAGTTCCCAATCAAACATAGGCTTGCTGGTCCACCTACACTAGATGAATTTCATCAAGTCATTCAGACACTGAGGAATGGCAAAGCAACTGGACCTGATGGAATTTCAGCTGAAGTATTGAAACACGGTGGGCCAGCAATGGCCCAGCGCCTTCACAACCGCATCCAGAGCATTTGGAACGAGGAACAAGCACCAGCTGATTTTAAAGATGCACTGATAGTTACAATCTTCAAGAAAGGTGATAAAGCAAGTTGTGGCAACTATCAAGGTATCTCACTGCTGTCAACTGTAGGCAAAGTGTTTGCTAAGACCAAAAAAACCCAACTTACTCAAGTTGCAAAGGAGGTTCTACCACACACACAGTGTGGCTTTCAACCTGGAAGAGGCACCACTGATATGATCTTCTGCCTATGGCAAATACAAGGAAAGTGTAGAGAACAAAGAACTCCTCTCTACATAGCCTTCTTTGACCTGTGTAAGGCCTTTGACTCAGTCAATAGGGATAATTTATGGATTATCCTGGGAAAGTATGGCTGCCCTGATAAATTGGTTACAATGATACGCCTACTCCAGGACAACATGACTGCCTCTGTTCTGTGTGCAGGTGAGCAAGCTGAACCGTTCCCTGTGAAAGCTGGTCTAAAACAAGGGTGTGTATCGGCTCCCACACTGTTTGTCCTCTACATGGATGTGTCTTGCAATTGGCCCAACCTCAGCTGAGACACAATGGAGTACAAATTGATTACCGATTTGATGGTAACATGTTCAACCTATGCTGGCTCCAGGCCAAAACAAGTTGTTCACAGTTTCAGTTGTGGAACTCCAATATGCTGATGATGCTGCAACCTGCTCAACATCAGAAGCCGGCCTGCTGAGAATCACAGACGCTTCCGCAGAAGCCTATAGCAGTCTTGGACTATCACTAAACTGCACCCTGATATCACTGTGGATGGGACTGTCCTTAAAGTATTCCCACATTTCAAGTATCTTGGCAGCTACATAACCAGTGATGTCTCCCTCGATTGAGAGATTACCAACAGGATCAGTGCTGCTGCAACAGCTTTTGGCAAGCTACATAAAGGTGTTTTTGATAACCAGGACCTCGAGCTGAAAACCAAGATACAAGTCTATCAAGCTATCATTATACCAACACCCTTGTATGGTTCTGAAACATGGACTACGTACCAATATCAAGTAAAAAAAAGCTAGACAAGTTTCATCAACGGTATCTACACACAATCATGAATATAAAATGGTTTGATCGCGTCACCAATGCTGAGGTTCTTGACTGGTGCTCGTCGACAAGCATCAAAGCTGTGCCACATCTGAACAGACTAGTATGGAATGGACACGTAGTTACAATGGACGCACTTTTTCTATCTAGAGAGCTTCTCTTTAGCCAGCTATCCTCAGGAACCCAAAGCATTAGTGCTTCTAAGAAGAGATCGAAGGATGTCCTCAAAAAGACATTCAAAATCTGCAAGAGTGGTAATGATGATAATAATAATAATAATAATAGTAATTGATCAGATTTATATAGCGCTTTTCTGGACACTCAAAGACGCTTTACACTGTCAATTATTCATTCACACACATTCATTCTGGTGGTGGTAGCTACGATTGTAGCCACAGCTGCCCTGGGGCAGACTGACAGAGGCGTGGCTGCCATTCTGCCCCTACGGCCCCTCCAACCACCACCTCAAACAATCCATTCATACGCATTCACACCAGGCAAGGTGGGTGAAGTGTCTTGCCTAAGGACACAACGACCATGAAACAGGTTACAGGGCGGAATCGAACCGCCGATCTTCCGATCATCGACCGACTCGCTCTACCACCTGAGCCACAGCCGCCCCAAATGATGATGATGATGTTGACGAATGAATGTTGCAGCAGAGTGCTACTGTGATTATTCTGAAGGAATATACTGGGATAACTTCACAGCTGTCTCTCTCAGTCTCTTGTCTTTATGGAAACACTGACATCTTCTGCCAACGTATACAAAGAAAACCTACATGTGATGGAGTAAAACTGCAGAACGTGGATCACGTTCCCGACGAGGAGGAAGCGGAGGCGGCGCAGGGAGCGCAGGCAAAAGAGGGGATGCAGGGCCGGCGGGCTAGCTAGACTACGGAAACGGCCACACAAACCACCACTTCCCAGCCTCTCCCTCGCTAATGTAAGATCCCTCACCAATAAAATGGACGGGCTGAGGCTCCAGGCGGCTTCGGATAGCTTCACCAGAGACTGCTGTGTCCTACTCATCACCGAAACATGGCTACATTCATCCATCCCAGACTCAGCTATCGAGCTAGCATGCTTCACAACACGGCGCTTCGACAGGACCAGTGACTCCGGTAAGAACAAAGGAGGAGGGTTGTGTATTTACTTCAACAACAACTGGTGTAACAACACAGAGATGGCAGCCAGCTATTGTTCCCCTGATTTGGAATATTTGACTGTGAAATGTCGCCCGTTCTACCTTCCGCGGGAGTTTACTTGGGTCATGCTAACTGTTGTTTAAATACCACTGGATGCTAATGCTAGCTCGGCCCTCGGACTGCTACATCACAACATCAGCCTGCAGCAAAACCAACATCCAGATGCGGTGCACATCATCGCTGGTGATTTTAATCATGTGAACTTAAAATCAGTGCTCCCTAAACTCCACCAGCATGTCAAGTGTGCGACAAGAGGAGCCAATACACTGGACAACGTTTATACAAACATTAAGCTGGGCTACAGGGCCAGACCTGCACCACACTTAGGCAAGTCTGACCACATCTTCCTACAACTCATCCCTGCATACACCCCCCTCTGTAAATCCACCCCCACCACCATTAAGACCATCAGGATGTGGCCAGATGGTGCTTCTCTACAGCTGCAGGACTGTTTCAACAGCACTGACNACTGAGTGACCAACAAGAAGGAGACTAGTGAGGGAGGCCAGCAAGACTCCTGTGACTCCTCTGAAGGAGTTACTAGAAGGAGACAACCATCCTGGGATAACTTCACAGCTGTCTCTTGTCTGAACGACACATCGAATCCATCAGAGCGACGATGTGCAGGGCTCGGGTTGGTGTACACCTGGTTGGAGGATTAGAAAGACTGTGACTCAGCAGATAATCTTCTCACCCAGACCTAAATCAGAGACGCATTTAACCAGCAGTAAGAAAACGTTCACGTCCAGGTGTGCAGGAAACACTCATGGTTCCAGTTTTCATATTTGTTTCACATCTTCAGTCCAGATGAAAACGTCTGCAGCACATTGAGCTTGTTTTTAGTTTAGACATGTTGTGTTGGAGGGCTGCAGGTGGATCGGTGGTTAGCACCGCCGCCTCACCCCTGGAAGGTCGCTGGTGATGGATGGATGTTCTTTTAGCAAATTCTGCTATTACTGTGTCACAGAAGTTTCGTCCCAGTTTTACGTTTTGATCGCTGTCACATAAACGCAGCCTGAATGTTCACGTGACTGTTAAACTGGAAATTGTCTTACTGGGAGTTTCAGGAGCTGCTGCTGTCAGAAAAACAGTCTTGATCTGGAGTTTGACTTTCTGTCAGTTCTCTACATGAATGGAGCCAATCAGCTGGATGTGTCTGTGATGCTCTGCTTTGAAGCTACAGAAGATCCAGAAAGCCACACAGACCACTTTGTTCTCTTAATGATCACATGAACTCATTCAAGATGTCTGATGTGTGTCTCTGTGCTGTGGCGCCCTCTGCAGGAGAAACCACAGCATTTCAGATGGAGAAGCTGCAGAAGATCATCAGTGCTGGAAGTCTGGTGCCGGTTCAGATCCTCTGTCTGATGGAGAGGCTGAAGCATGCTGGAGGACTGATCATTCACAGCGAGACTCTGATCAGCAGCTCGAATCTGATCTCAGCTGGACTCTGGAAGTCCTCCGTCTCCATCGATCTTCATCCGTCTGACCGGTGCTGAGATGCTGTTCTGACTGTTGTTCAGTTCAAGCTGCAAAGAAACTCCAGCGTCACAACGAATGAGTTCATCAGAGACGCAGGTTTGGAAGTTTCTTATGTTTTCTATGGAGACTCACATTCTTGTTTTCCTTTATGCTCCTTTCTCATTAGATTTTATATATTTATTTGTTTGTTATTATTTTTGTTTGTTTTGTTGTTGACCTTAGTAAAGCATCTTTGAGTACCTTTGAAAAGCATTACAGAAGTATTATTGTTATTATTATTATTATTATTATTATTATAGGTGATGTGTTTTGTGCAGTTTGACTGCGTTTTAAAGCCATAAATTATCTTTAAAAAAGAAAAACTGAACACTGATTTTCTTGACGTTTTTTAAGGAACATGTAGAACAACAATAAAAACCCTACATGCTCTAAATATTTCATATTTTTGATTTGCTTTCACACTCGTCTCCTGCCTGCTCTGGGAAAACACTGCCTGCAGTTCAATCTAATTCAGTCGTGAACTTCCAGAATCCTTATTGTGTGACTGTCGGTTGTAGCCGAGTCCTTAACGGCTCAATGGAGAGCAGAACCTTTAAAGAAACAGGTTCTGAGGGTTCCTCATTGTGCCTTTATCTGATGTTTCTTGCTTTCTTTCCAGGATCCAGATCTCCAGTAACCACATGCTGCTGTCGGTCATGGCTGAGCTGTGAACCAGTACGCTGTCACCAGTCTGTGAGATCAGAGCAGGAAACATCTGGAGAAGGAGAACCACGAAGCACAGCTAACACCGTTTGTTGTTGTTTAGTCATTCATGTATATCGCGGCTTTCCTCGCAGGTCGTGATGTTCTTCAGCAGCGCCGCCCTGCACTTCCTGCAGCAGGAGGCTGAGAGCTAAGAGGACATGATGTTCTTCACCAACGCCACCGGCCAGCTGCAGGAGAACAAGAAGAGGAGGAGGAAGAGGGCCGTCCTCACCATCACTTCCACTAGAACCAACACCATCATCGTCTGCTTCCAGAAGCTTCCTGCTGTTTGTACGTTGTGAAACCCGGTGTGTTCGTTCATTCCCCAAATAAACTGAGATGTTCCCTCAGTGCTGTCAGGTTTTCATGGCAGCTTCTCCAAACTAATGACTCCTCCCCGGCGGAGCCACATGTAGCTCTAAAGCGGGACACGTTTGATTTAAGCTGCTTTCTGAGCTACAGGCCCGCTGGGAGGCGTTCAGGGACCCAGCCTACAGATGTGCAGCAGCTCTGTCAGAAGCTACCTGAGCTCCGGACCACCTGGCTGGTACCTCCTGCGAGCCGCTGGAGATGTGGCTCGACTTTATAGCCGCAGTAACTCGGCTGAATTTACGATCCCGAAGCCTCGTAGATGTGGTAAATATAAGTCATAGGAGGGAGGGAACCTCTCGCGGTCGCTCTTGAATGTCAGCTTTTAATCCTCTGGCCTTCAGAGCAGTTTCACAGCCACATCAGACACTTCATTTTCCACCAGCGTGTTTATTTCCTGAGCGTTAGGCGCTTTCTGGAATAATGAAATGAACCTTTCCAAACACCTCTGCTCACTGTTTTAATCTCACAGAGGACAAAAAACTAATTAACTCTGTCTGTAGGGCTGTTAAACGAAGGCAGCAGCAGCTCTTTAGTTTACGGGCCTGGATTCTGTCTCCGAGCTGTAAATGTCACACCTACCTAAATTAAAAATTCTGCAGGAAAATCCCAGGCCGCGATCCGAACAGCGCCGACATCGGATCAGCGCCCAGCGGTGGGTTGGATTCATCATCTCTGATTAAAATGGGGGGAGAAAGGTCCAACTGAAGGCTTGTGCCACAATGTGAGCCTCTGGTGAGGAAACAGCTGCTTCATGCAAACCCAGAACACTGTTTTCAGGGTGTTCTGCTCAGTAACAGAACCTCATGCACTGGATTGTTCACTGGAGCTGTTTAATGACATATTTGCACCAGTATTCAGCCTTTTGCCTCTGAGTTGGTTAGTTAATGTCAGGGAACACATATTATAGGTATTTCTCTTTAAATGGTTTGATTACTGCAGATTATTGTACAATGAAAGGTCCTGTGATGTTTGAATGAAACACCAGATAAACGTCTGGATCTTTAGAATTGTGTAAAAGTTTAAATATCTTGCAGCCTGTTTGATCTGAAGTCAGTTTTTGGTGCGATGAGGACCTGAGCAGTCGGTTAACGAGGCCTTGGCTGACCAGTAAATACTGGGAAAAGTTTGAGCCACTGGTTAAACTGGATGGAGCAGAAGATGGAGAATCAGCTGCCCAGTGTTTTAGTGTCACACGTGAGAGCAGCAGGAATTCCCTGAAAGACGTGAACGCTGCAGCATTCAGTCAGAACAGATTCAGTGAAACGAGCAAGAAAACAAAAGAGCAGAAAAAAGTCAGTGATGCAATCAAGACATTGTTCAGCCCAACTGTCTTTTATTTGGTTCTAAAGGAGAGCGATGGTACCGTAGAGAAGACTGACACCGGTGCGACCACAGGGACGTGCTGAACTAACCTGTCATCAGCATCACAGGTGTCTTCAGACCTGGAACCAGCCAGTGGGCCCGTTTAAGGTGAAGAGTCGGCGCCGTGCTGTTTGTTGTGGACCACACCGGACCCGGAGCGCAGACTGCTCAGGACGGAGTCCACATGAAGCTTCATGGTAGAAAAGCAGCGTTCAGACCTTCCTCCTCACTAGATGGCAGCCTTGCCTTTCCTTACAGCGGGTTCATTTCACCCCGGCCTGCTTTCTGGACTCGGATTCTGCTGCATGCCGGCGCTCTGGGCCTCCTGCCACCTGCTGCAGCGCTCAGCGCATGACGCCCAGCAGGAACCAGCAGCACTCGGCTTCATCAGCACCACTGATGCTGGAGGGAGAGTTTTTAAATAAAGTTTTCCTGTTTTATAATCAGATGTGGCTGCAGATACAGATGAGTCCATTAAAAGCTCCCGTGTGGGTCTGTGGCTGGTATGAAGCTGGGAGGTGGCCAATGAAGCAGTCCAATTATCCGTACAACGATGTGCTGGGTGACACCGACAGACACGAACCGTCGTATTCTGAGCCCAAAACTCTTTATTGTTTTATAAGCTGATCAGATATTCGGTTGTTTTGTTAGCTGAAGGTGGACGTAACGGATCAGAAGCTCGTTCATGTCCATTATGACACTTTCACATGTTACCAGCAACTCTCATCGAAACTCCAAACTGGGCAGATCGTCTGGCAGATCGGACTTCATCCCGTTTATCTGAGGAGCTGCTCTGGCCTCATTAAACACCTCATGTCGGTTTGATTCATTCACTTGTCGCCCGTTCTGTCTGTTTTCTTACACAGCAAACGAGTGGGAAACACATCGCTGGCTGTGCGAGCGGCTCTGGTTTCCTGCAGGACGCGAGCAGGCGCTGGCTGCAGGACGTGTGTTGTTTTACGGCCTGTATTTACATTACAGCGTGATGGACAGCAGCTCGCCTTACTGCATGCGGTCTGCGTTGCTATAGTCTGTCATCGTATGGTCTGCATGACATTATGTGCAGCAGGATACCACGCACTCGTACACTGGATTCGATGGCGTGGGTCGCCGGCGAACGCGATACGAGCTATAAATGCGTGTGACCCATGCCTGAGATAGAAGCTGCTGGCGGCCACAGGACTCGAGTTACTGCAGAGCTGCTCCTCCGCTCAGCAGTTNTAGCGCTTTTCTGGACACTCAAAGACGCTTTACACTGTCAATTATTCATTCACACACATTCATTCTGGTGGTGGTAGCTACGATTGTAGCCACAGCTGCCCTGGGGCAGACTGACAGAGGCGTGGCTGCCATTCTGCGCCTACGGCCCCTCCGACCACCACCTCAAACAATCCATTCATACGCATTCACACCAGGCAAGGTGGGTGAAGTGTCTTGCCTAAGGACACAACGACCATGAAACAGGTTACAGGGCGGAATCGAACCGCCGATCTTCCGATCATCGACCGACTCGCTCTACCACCTGAGCCACAGCCGCCCCAAATGATGATGATGATGTTGACGAATGAATGTTGCAGCAGAGTGCTACTGTGATTATTCTGAAGGAATATACTGGGATAACTTCACAGCTGTCTCTCTCAGTCTCTTGTCTTTATGGAAACACTGACATCTTCTGCCAACGTATACAAAGAAAACCTACATGTGATGGAGTAAAACTGCAGAACGTGGATCACGTTCCCGACGAGGAGGAAGCGGAGGCGGCGCAGGGAGGCAAAAGAGGGGATGCAGGGCCGGCGGGCTAGCTAGACTACGGAAACGGCCACACAAACCACCACTTCCCAGCCTCTCCCTCGCTAATGTAAGATCCCTCACCAATAAAATGGACGGGCTGAGGCTCCAGGCGGCTTCGGATAGCTTCACCAGAGACTGCTGTGTCCTACTCATCACCGAAACATGGCTACATTCATCCATCCCAGACTCAGCTATCGAGCTAGCATGCTTCACAACACGGCGCTTCGACAGGACCAGTGACTCCGGTAAGAACAAAGGAGGAGGGTTGTGTATTTACTTCAACAACAACTGGTGTAACAACACAGAGATGGCAGCCAGCTATTGTTCCCCTGATTTGGAATATTTGACTGTGAAATGTCGCCCGTTCTACCTTCCGCGGGAGTTTACTTGGGTCATGCTAACTGTTGTTTAAATACCACTGGATGCTAATGCTAGCTCGGCCCTCGGACTGCTACATCACAACATCAGCCTGCAGCAAAACCAACATCCAGATGCGGTGCACATCATCGCTGGTGATTTTAATCATGTGAACTTAAAATCAGTGCTCCCTAAACTCCACCAGCATGTCAAGTGTGCGACAAGAGGAGCCAATACACTGGACAACGTTTATACAAACATTAAGCTGGGCTACAGGGCCAGACCTGCACCACACTTAGGCAAGTCTGACCACATCTTCCTACAACTCATCCCTGCATACACCCCCCTCTGTAAATCCACCCCCACCACCATTAAGACCATCAGGATGTGGCCAGATGGTGCTTCTCTACAGCTGCAGGACTGTTTCAACAGCACTGACTGGGACATCTTTGAGGACGAGGACCTGGATGTGTTCACAGTCATCGTTCTGTGCTACATTAAGAACTGTGCGGACACGGTGACCGTGGAGAAACGCATCCGGGTCTACCCCAACCAGAAACCCTGGATGACCAGAGAGGTGAAGCAGCTGCTAAGGGAGAGAAACTCAGCCTTCAGAACTGGAGACAGGGCTCTCTACAGCACAGTCCGCGCCAACCTGAAGAGAGGCATCAGGAAGGCCAAGGAGGACTTCAGGAGAAAGATCAACGACCACCTGGACAGCAACAACACCAGGCAGGCATGGATGGCGGTCCAGCACCTCACCAACTACAAACCCGGCATCAGAGCTGCTGAGGGCGATGCTGAGCTGGCAGAAGAACTCAACCTCTTCTTCGCCTGCTTCGAGGCTGAACCACCAGGAGCAGCCACGGCGCCACCAGCGGCCGGGAGCAGCCCCACCCTCACAGTGGGGGTGCACGAGGTGAGGCGCACGCTGAGGAGGACCAACCCACGGAAAGCGACGGGCCCTGACGGCGTCTCAGGACGGGTATTGAAAGGTTGTGCCGATCAGCTTGCTGGGATCTTCACTAAGATTTTCAACCTGTCACTGACAAAGTCTGCAGTCCCATCCTGCCTGAAGACCTCCACTGTCATCCCCCTACCCAAGAAAACCCCCAAAACCAACCTCAACGACTACCGGCCAGTGGCACTCACACCAGTGGTGATGAAGTGCTTTGAAAAACTGGTTAGGAGTCACATCATGACCTTCATAACCCCCAGCTTGGACCCATACCAGTTTGCCTACAAGGTAAACAGGTCAACAGAGGACGCCGTGGACGCCGTGAACACAGCGCTACACACAGCGCTGACCCACCTAGAGAAACCAGGGAACTACGTCCGCCTTCTCTTTGTTCAGCCTTTAATACGATC